TATAGTTTTGATTGGTTTTCCATTTTCTACATTGATTAATCTTTGCCATTACAGTCTAGACGAAGATTGCACTAGGTGTCGGTGGTATGCTGCGTTTTCCTAATCTGTCAACTGTTCAAAAGAAGGAATTGTTTTGGTTTAGGTGTGTTAACACATTGACATGAAAAATGAGAAATCATTAAGACACTAAGCCAAAACAACACCAAAGGAAGCTCTTGACAATAACAATACCTGCTAAAATCACCACCAATTAAGTAGGCTGTATCATAATTTGACAGTCATTTTACAAAAGTGTGTAAATTAAAAAAAGGAGCTTAACTGATCTCTAAAGTAAACAGCATGAAATAAAAATATAACAGTCATTAAGCACATTTCAGGCATAAATTGGTTTTCTTTAGTGATGGGGAAATCTAAAAAAAAATGGGAATCCAAGACACTGCAAATATGATAGAAACACAATACCCAGCAATGCTTAATCAAGAGACAAATGTGAAGTTCCTCAATTTGTGGAAATAATATATGCATGTACTTTCCAAAAGCTTTGGAGAGTCCTTCAGCAAAGGGTCCAAAGTTAACAGAACTGAGGTCTGTTACCTGGGACCCTCTCTGGAATGTGATACCTCCTCCTAATTCTGATACCAGAACTAATTCTCTTTTGATATAATATGTATAACATAAAGGTTAAGCAGTTCCCCATGGAGAGATGTAAGAACTCAGAACATATATTAATATTAGCATTTTAAAGTTATTAATTATGGTTAGAAGTTAGGTGGATAAGGATGGAGATTGGAGAAGTATAAAATGCATATTGAAAAACATGTTTTATAATTACTGATAGAATCTGAGACAACAGTGAGTTATGAAGAAAGAATCTTAAAGCTGTTGGTAGTTGAAATTGAAATGTCTCACTGATATTACAAATTAATAAGAAATCCAGTAAAAAACAAAAGGTAGCAAAATTATAACATTAAAATCAAGATGATACTAACATCTATGGCTTCCAAGGGAGATTAAGGAAAGAATACTGTCAGTGATAATTACTTCTAATTAGATAATTAGAATAATTGCATTTCCTTTTGTTGTATGTAGCATTAGACTATAAGAAAAAATGTAATCCTGCATCCTTATATCTAAGTCTACAAAATTAAGCTTGTCCTGGCAAATGGAAAACTGTCCAAATAAAATTAAAGACAGTTTGGAAAGCTATCAGCATAAGAACACGGACTGTCCAGATTGTTGAGTTTATTAAAATTGTTGATTCTGTACTATCAGCAAATGCTTTCCTTCTGTCAAAAACAGCATTGACACAGATAACTAATTCTGAATGTTTCTTAATAATTCCTTATGTACAGAGCATAGTTTAGGGGGGAGAGGAAAATGATTCAGAAGTATTTCCCCTTATAGTGAGCAATTAACTTGAATTGATGTTAAGGTAGTGTATATGAGAATAGTCTTAAAAGGGTAGTGATGAGTTCTTACTGATCCCTTCCTTGTCCCTAATATGTAATTGAGAAAATTTAAAAGCTAAGTATTTGTAGTTGTATTAGTATTGAATTTTGGACGCTTCTCCTTAATATGTAATTAAGTAAATTTAAAAACTTAAATGTAAGTAGTTGTTATTGGCTTTTGGAAGTTTATAATGATGCCAAAAGAAGAAGAATATAATTGATTATTGCAATATTTGTGGCATAGAAAGAATCTTTTATTATAACAAATGTGATTTTGGTTACTAGAAAGGCATATACTTTTCATGAAATGTATTGCCCAATGTATTTAAATTCCCAGGAACCATGAAAATCAGAATTGAAAAACTACCCACTCTTGTTTGATTCAAGAGTCAAATAATGCTAAAATAAAACAATGTGGCATATTTATATCATCTGCAGGGTGCAAATTAGCTTACAATATGGGACAAACTAATTATGTCCATAGTTTTATGATTTCTTCTTGAAAAGTAAAATATTTATGTTTATGTATAAGCTGTTCTTGTTTCAGATTAGTACTGGTTGTAATCTGCTTTCTCTATCAGTATTCTAAACTTCAACTTGATAAGAATAACTGTGCTGGAAAAATAATTGCACACCTTGAAATGTTATTTACATTTTACGTTTCTGAGGAATAAATATACATAATGTTCTACTGACTACTGACCCTTTTGTCATTTCCTTAATACTGTTTGTCATTCCATTATGCTAATACACATTAAAACTATATATTAATGGAAATCAGTACACCAAATTATGTTCTTTATTGGTCATTTGGGTTATACTTGCTACAGTGCATAAGTATTTGTCTGTATTGTTCTCTGTTTTTGCCTAAAGCAAAGAAAGAAATGTTCAACTACGTTACAGTTGATCTGCCAGCCTTCTTTCTTAGTTTCTAATATTGCACACCCTTCTCTGCTTGCATCTTCCATAATCTTATATTATATAATATATGCCTTGTTAAATGAGTGTTTCTGGTTTAAAAAAATGACATTACAAACTGATCACATTGTGGTGTGCAATCCCTCTTGAAATACTTCCAGCATTTCCAAAAAAGACAATTTTAAACATGACCCAATTCTTTTAGGTTTGAAAGAGGATGTTTCAAATTTGGAATAGTTTGAATACTTTGCACACTGTTATTACAATCTTCAGGTGCTGTTAGCATAGGTTATTTCTCAGTTGATGTTTAATAAGTGTAATATTTTTCTATTGCTGTTTTGGCATAGATTTGCACTCATAACTTGGTAGTGCGGGTATCATAAAAAACCATGGAAGCAATTTCCTCCTGGGAGCAGATTCAATAGATTGACTTATTTTGGTTTATCTTGCAGAGATAAAATTTAATTGCTTGCAACAGTTGAAGAACTTAATGCAATGGTCAGAAATTTAACTCTTCACAGGCTAGCTGCCATTACTAGTCCTAAATTCAATCTCGGTAGTCATATATCCCCTGAGGAAAATAGATACAGTGTATGACTATACAGAAGTAAGCAAAAAGAACATAATTGAAGTTCAGTACGTTTTACTGTCAGATACAATTGCATTCCAAAGTTGAGACATCTTTGGTCAAATTTTCTATTTTAATTAATCCTTAAGTGTGGGACCCCCCCAAAAAAAGCAAGGATAAAGCCTCTAAAGGTATTGTTTCTGCTATAGAATATATTATAAATTACTGCATGAAAGTAAATCTAAACTTCTGCATGTGCCATGTTATTATTTTTAAATGGATTCTATAGATCAGCGCGCGCCCCCCCCCCCCAACTTTTAGGGCACTTTCAATGAAGAGAGGTTTTCTTGTGGACTAGATGCGGCCTGGTTTCATGTGCTGTCTGCATCCCATGAATGGGTCTACACTTATTTGCGCAGCCTGGTTTCTGGCGTGCTGTGGACTGGTGTCGGTCCATGGACCGGGGTTTGAGAACCCATGCATGTAAATAGAAAGTATATATTCAGATTTGCAGAAAGCTGTTTAACATTGAATCATATAGAATTTTGTCATCTTCAATTGATGGAAGGATTATTGAAGGATATAATTTGACCATGAGTGCCTAAAGTTTTACATGCAGCTGTAATTTTTTAATAAATAGTTTATTGAATAATTCTCCAGACCATTTCAAGTATGCTATCATTGACAACAATATACATTGGTATCTTGGTACTCATCATTAATTGGTGTCAGGAGGGAACAATGAGTGCCAAACAAATTTTTCCCATAAGGAATAATGTAGTGAGTCACAAGGCAGCCGACACTGACAAGTTCTAGCTTGTGCATTGAGTACCAAACAAATGATGAGGGACAAAAGTTTTGCATCAAAATGCATTGAGTACTAATTTTGATGAGTTTCAAAATAGTTGAGTAGCAAGGTAACACTGTACATATGTTTATGACTTAAAATGAGAGTTTATTATTAAAATTTAAAATTAATAAATTATAGACATAATTTAAATCTAAAATCTAAACAATGATAATATTAACATGTTGACATATTAACACAATATTAACTCCTTTAACATTTAAATGGTTAATGGAGTGGGGTAGGATTGCACCTTGTCAGAGTTTAGAAAATACAAGTATTACATATTGTAATTTGTCATATCAGACAGAATCTACCATTTCTTTCCCCCTTAGCCTCGCTGCCTTAATTGCAAAGATAGTAACTCACTGTGTTACAAACTGATTATTACCTTGTACAACTAAATTCAATTTATTTTCAGCATTCCAGTTCATGTCATCAAGGAATGGAGATTAATAAGGATCCCAATATTTAACATGCAACCAGGATTACATAATGTGACAAAATTTCTATTTCACCTGCCCCTCACACAAAATCTGCCCTGCACTGGGATAACTAGGAATTTGCTTTGTTGCATCATTATAATTGTGTTTAATATTGTCCCGTCCTCCCTCCCTGCCTCCCTCCCTGCCTCCCTCCCTGTAATTTATAATAAATCCGCTAAATATAAATGCATCCTAACTTCTATAGCCAGTTAGCATCTCTTGTCTCTGTAGTCAGGCTTTGGAGGCAATATTCAAATCTCTGTGAATTATAGCAAATGCTTTTGCTTACAGTCAGAATTTCAAAATTAGAAATCCTGACAAAAATGAGGAACTTGTTTTAAAGATGCTATTGATTAAACATAGATGCTGAACTGTTGGATTCCAATACTGTTGTTTGCTAAACTCTTGCAAATAATGTAATTCTTTCCTAATAATCTTCAGGAAATAATGTATGTATAGTGATGATACAATATTGAAAGATTATCTTGAGATTTAAATCAAAACAGACCAAAGATGGATAATAATAAATAAAAGAACTCCAGGACATTCTGGATGAGTAGTTACATATAATGTTGAATTGATTCATAAGTATGAATGTGAATCAGCATGGTTGAGGAATAGGTTTTTCAAATCATTGACTTCTTATAAATTATATATATTTTATTATTATTTTTAGGTATTGCTAGTTTATCATTAGGAGATTTAACTGCTGGCTTTTCTATCTCCTGTGAAGGTTGCTGCAATTAACCCCAACCATCCACTTGCTCAGATGCCCTTGCCTCCTTCAATGAAAAATTGTATTCAACTAGCAGCATGTGAAGCTACTGAGTTGCTACCAATGATCCCTGACTTACCAGCTGACCTGTTCACGTCCTGCCTTACCACACCAATCAAGATTGCACTTAGATGGTAAGTGACTCGCTATTCTGAGACTTACCTATGACTTGGAAGCTTCAGTTGCCCTGACATTTTTCTGTAGATCCAAATTAGAAAAAATTGGTATAATCATCCTGGAAGCTGTCTCTACTTTCATCTTCTTGCCTTCTTTTTTATACTTCTGTTTATTACATTCGTATTGTATCTGGATATTTGGGTTTGCTCAGATTAGAGGACTTAGTGTGCTGGAAATTAAAATAGGCTGCCTTTTCACAAATCAGAAGTACCATATGGTGCAGCACAATGTTATATGAGCACACTATATTTTTCAGAGACGCTGTAGTGCCTGTCCTCAAGATCTTTTACCTGCACACGTTCTGTACATTTCAGTGAAAAGCTTAATTGGTTGGGATTGAGAGAATTGTGCTGTGGATCCATATGTTACAGAAACGTTACGAATAAGCTAGTTAAGTAGTAGGAATAGTATACAGAAAAAACTAAGTATCTTTTTAAAAAAGAATTTGAAGTAATAGGGCTATCTGTTAAGGAAGGGAGAGATAAAAAACTTCTCTGCTTTCTGCTTAATAACAGACCTGTCTTGGGGTTAGGACAACATCCGGGATTGCATGGGTTGCTGTCTCTAAGCAATGTGGTTGTGTGATATCATGCTTTACAACTACTGTGCGCACAGCAATTCTAATCCCAATTGCAGTCACAACTCGAGAGTATCTTTGTTTATATATTTATTGAGAAAAATGATCCAAAGCTACCTATTTGTGTGTAAGCAAAAGTATTTGAACATTTGCTTTCAGTAACAAGTGGGCAGCAATAACTAAAACTAAATATTTCCAATAACTGATGGTCAATCTTGCACATTGACTAGGAAGAATTTTAGTCCATTCCTCCTAATAGAGCAACTTCAGCTCAGGAATGTTGTTGGGTTTCCTCTTATGAACTCCCTGTTCAAGCCCTTCCACGACATTTCTATAAGATCAAAGTTAGGATTTTGACTTGGCCATTCCAAAAGATAAACTTTCTTTTGTTTTAACTATTCTTTGGATGTAAGACTTGTGTATTTTGAATCGTTGTCTTGCTGCATGACCCTCTTTCCCTTGAGCTTCAGATGATAGACAGTGCCTTGACATTTTCCTACAGAATTTGCTGGTACAATTCAGAATTCATTGGTTCCATCAATGATGGCAAACTGTCCTGGTCCAGGCGCAGTAAATCAGGCTGAAACCATAATACTGCCACTGCCGTTTTTCACAGATGGGTTAAAGTTCTTATGCTGGAATGCAGTGTCTTTGCCTTTCATCACATACAACACTTTTCACTCAAGCCAGAATATTCTATTTTGGTCTCATCCATCATTCTTCTAATAGCCTTCTGGTTTATCCATGTGGTCTTTTGCAGACTGTATGGGCAGCAACGTTCTTTTTGGAGAGTTGCAGTTTTCTCCTTGCAGCTGCAGCTGCCACGCACACCACTGTTGTTCAATGTACTTTAGATGATGGTTTCATGAACACTGACATTCCCCCATGCAAGAGAGGTCTTTATCTATACCCTGGGTATGATGTTGATTGGTTGTCCATTCCTGGGGAGGATAACAATGGTGTCAATTTGTAGAAATCTCCTTGACAGTGGACTGCTAGAGGCCAAAGTCTTTGAAAATAATTTTGTAGCTTTTTTTCAGCAACAACTCCCCTTTGTTTTTTGAGCTCATGACACACTTCCACATACCTATGTTGGGAAGATTAGACTTTGATAGTGAATAGCAATAGCAATAGCAATAGCAGTAGACTTATATACCGCTTCATAGGGCTTTCAGCCCTCTCTAAGCGGTTTACAGAGAGTCAGCATATTGCCCCCAACAATCTGGGTCCTCATTTTACCCACCTCGGAAGGATGGAAGGCTGAGTCAACCCTGAGCCGGTGGGATTTGAACCGCTGAACTGCTGATCTAGCAGTAGCCTGCAGTGCTGCATTTAACCACTGCGCCACCTCGGCTCTTCTAGCCAGTAGAATTCTGTTCTTTAAAGAAGGCATACTCACACTTGATTTTCATCCCATTGATGGATAACCCTGACTCTAACTTCCCTCTCAAATGAATTGGTAATCCCAGAGGTTCACATCCTTTTACTGCACACAAATATGCAGTTTTGGATTATTTACCTCTATAAATAAATAAGCACATATAATGCTTTTGACTCATTTGTTAATTGGGTTCTCTGTCTAGTTTTAGGAGAATAGACATATTTTAGATTATATTTATGCAGAAATACTGAAAATTCAAAAGGGTTTACAAACTTTTAAATTCTCCTGTATATTAAAGTCCCATATAGTGTACTGAAAGCAAATGTTCAAGACACAGCAATTTAAGTCTTCTGTGTTATTAAAATCAGACTGATTATTTTGGAGTGGCTTTACTAGCTTAAGTAAAAATTTGGAGGTTAGAGAAATAGTTTGCTATTTGTGATTTTATAAGTGTTGTGGCTTTGTACTAAAAAAAAAAGTCAGATTGCAAAATACTTGTTCAATTAAATTTATATTAAAGATTACTGATATAAAATATGCTATTTTCACATTCAGTATTGGCAGATAATTATAAATGGAATCTTCAAAAGTTGTTGAGTCATTTATAAAGTGGGATAGTGTTGCCTACATATACCATTGTATCTAAACTAGCTAGAGGTTTCACATTTTTTGTACCTCTTGTCTCTTTCTTTCCGAGTCATGGTATCATAAGAATAGTGTGCAAACAAATGATTTCTTTCTGATTCAGAATCCAATTTTCTTTCTGACTCAGAATCCAATTGTCCATAAATGTTAGTCAACATGCTAATCTCAGTTATTCAAACCATAAACAGAATGGAAGTGATGATGGATCTTGATAATTGTCATGAGACATCAGAAAACCAATAATGCCATTGTCTCAGCTGAATTGCTGGCTTATTGCTTTCTTTTACTTAACCTTTTTCAGCTAAGATGTGAGCCTTGGTACCATTTTCACCATAATCTTGGCATTTTCTTGAGTTTGATGTGGTATTTTTTTCCTATTTTAAAAAGCACATGTACACTCCATACTGATGTAGAAAAAATTGGGAACAATAAAAATAAGTGTGTTTTGTCATATGTATGATAAAAATGCAATTCCAAGTAAAACCTTTTAAATTATATTAAGTGCATTCATTATATTTAATTATATTTGCTTGGAAAAAGGTTGGGTCAACTTATATGTCTTTCAATTTTTTAAAAAAAAAAGATAGATACATATGAATTTATTCCACTGCACCATACCCATTGATGCCCTTAAATGCCCTATTCCTATTGCATTCAGTTTCCTTTTATATCTTACTTGACATACCCGGCTATTAGTTTCAAATAGCAATGTGGACAGAAGTATGCAGTCCTTTTTTCTTTTATCCAGTGTTTGTTCTTTACCACAGTCCACACACCATTCACTATCGTCCCAGCATTTGTACAACATTTTTCCATCCAGTTTCCTACCCTGTTTCCCCAAAAATAAGACCTCCCCGGATAATAAGCCAAGTCAGGCTTTTGGACGCATGTGGTAAAATAAGCCCTCCCCTGAAAACAAGCCCTCCCCAAAAATATTGCAGCAAAGCAGCAGCCATGAGGTGACCACGCTTGCCACCTCCTGTACCGTAAAAATAATACAACCTCACCCCCAAATAATGGCAAATGCTTATTTCGGGGGTCAAAAGAAAAGAAGACCCTGTTTTATTTTCAGGGAAACGCGTTATCTTAATTAAACATTCTACCAAAGTACACAAATTCATCTGTTCACCCTAGTTTTTCACTATTATTAACAAATTATTCGTTTTCCTGTTAAAGGTAACCACCTTGCATTTTAATAAATCAATTTTCAGATCTGTATTCCTTGATACATTATACAATCTAATATTCACTGCAGATAGTTCAGAGTCTGTCAGTCGCAAACTAACTGCAAAGAAAAATATGCATACTGGTACATTCACATCCCCCATCAACACACTTCAACATAACCCGAAACATCCATTATACCTGTTAAATATACACAAGGACACTTACATCCCTATTTTACCTTCTATTCAATGTTGAACCATTTCCCAAGTTTTTGTTCTCATGTAAGATTTATTTCTAATATATACTATTCTTACATTCAGCAGCCAACTTTCATTTCTGTATTCAAGTGTTTTAATTTTCTGTATTCAAGCATGTTAACTTTATAATTTCTCTAAATCAACAATGTTTCCTACGCATTACTTTACTATATTCATACATTACTTAGTGACCTGCTGAAGAGCAAATCTGTTTTGCATGCGTAGATTCAAGCCATTCTAAAGTCCATGTACATTTAATCAGAATTCTGTCAAGCAGGGATGTTTAACAGAGCAGTCCCACTGTTGTTTTGGCATTATTCTTCTCATTTTTCCCTTTGTATCAGGAAACAATGCAGCATTCTACCAACTTCCAAATAGAGATGTGCAAATGTAGTCTTCACAGCAATCTTAGACAAATTACCTAACATGCTACACATTCATCCTACATCATGAATTACAAAATTATGGAAGCAAGAATTATACAGAATGCTCTAAGTTATCTTTAGTGGAACTCTGGGGTAGACATAGAATATTTCATACTATAAAAAGAAATTCCTTCATTGACAACAATATGTCTCTGAATGATTTGAAATGCTTCTTCCCATGTTTCTTTCTATCCTAGTCAAGTTGCTGTTTAAGACCTAAATTGTCAAGTTTAGTTTCCAAACTTGTTTTTAGTTCTATCATTCTACCATACATTTTCTCTGCATCATTTAATCTTTATTTTAAAATATGAAACATTTATAATGAACATATGATCACTTTACATTCTTCAAGCTGATATGGTAAGGTAAAGGTTCCCCTTGCACATATGTGCTAGTCATTCCCAACTCTAGGGGGCAGTGCTCATCTCCATTTCAAAGCCAGAGTCAGTGCTGTCCGAAGACGTCTTCATGGTCTTGTGGCTAGCATGAAGGTGCACGGAACGCT